CACGATGGGGCGGAAGGATGTGAGTGAGAGGGTCCCAGGAAGTGAGGGGGAGACCACCGACCCCAGAGTTTTCTCCCTCTACAGCGGGCATTTACTGATTTTCCAGTTCTCGGAAACTCTTTGAAAAGCATCATGTTTTTCTGCTGCAAGTCTGAGGAAGAAAATAATCAGAAGATATGGAAGTAGAACAAAAGTACACGCAGTGGAAACTGTCAGTCCTCACCCGGTCTCCTCGCTCCAGGCCGGCCAGTAGCACCAGCTTCCCGTCTCTCTGGAGCTGCTCTTCCGCAGACCAGCACATCTGTGTAGAAAGCGCCCTTTGTTTCTTATACGCGGTGATGTGACATCCCTCCTCCTCTGCATCCTGCAAGTTTGCACTTGTTCTGCATTAGCACGTACATCTCTGTCTTGTTTTGGTTGGTCGTCTCCCAGGGCAGACTGTGTGCAAGGATTTGGGTGCAAATAGTTTCAATATGAGGTTGGTCTCAGAGAGGTGAGCGGGCTGGAAGGGGAGGAAAGCCAAGCAAAGGTGCGCTAACGAGCTGCCCCGCTCTGTGGGCAGCTGGGGTTCCTCCCCTCCCACTGGGAACCCTCCCAGTGATGCGTGGGAAGTTCACCTCAGAGTCATCCCAGCGAGTGGACACCAACTTCCATCTCTCGCGGGCCGAGGGTTGCTCCTGGGGACATGGGCACCTGCATACTTCCAGCTCACCTTCACGCCGAGAGACAGAAGGGGTTCTCGAACAGGGACCACCGGAACAGGGCTCTTTCCTGAGGCTGCAGGGGGCCTCCCGGGCGGGCCATGGGGCGTCGGAAAGCACAACAGCTCATGCGTCTCTTACTTAACACATCCTTTCATGATGGATGCCTCGTATTCCTGCAGAGAGAGCTACGCTGCTTTGTCTGAGTCCCCAGTGGTGGGCTGCGGTGCCTTTCTCGCACACACCTCTTTCCCGATGCTCCATAATCTGTGGCAACCACCTGTGTGCAGTGGCTCCTTTTTCCCACAATTGCCTGGCCCTCTCCGGCCTCCTTCTGCCCCTGCCCACCCCTGCTTGGTCCTCACAGATGTCACTTTGACCCTTTCATCTCATGGGGTCCAGGTGCCAAGGCCAGGTGGGGTCTGTGAAAGAATCTTGGGACCTTTTGCAGAGAATTTAGGAATGAGAGGCCAGCAGGTCATGACAGAGGGTGATTTCCACCTTCCCCCTGGGTTGCCTGTTGGAGGATCAAAGGGCTTTCTGTTGTTGTTTTATTTTCCTTTCCAGTGGCTTCTTGCTGAGGAGGCCGGCAGCGGAGCCAAGGCAAACAGAGTGACCTCTGAGGCCACTGCCTGCGCCTTGTGCAAGCGGTCTGACTGGGGCCGCAGAGGGGCTACAACTGGGGCCACAGCTGGGGCCACCGCTGGGAGTTTCCCTGCCTTTCCCTCCTCTGAGCCCAGAGGCCAGATGGGAGCCCTGGGTGCCGACCTCAGAGCCTGATGGGCCCCATGAGGCCTGGGAACGAGGTAAAACCACGGAATTGGAGGAGTGAGGGTGGAGGTGTCAAGAGAGCTGGATTGCAGCCTAGACCCATCCTGTAATCACTGTTGCTATAGTCCCCAACGGAAGAGATGGGCAGTGCACTGGACTAGGGGTCCAGAAAGTCAGGGTTAGAGCCTGGTTCTGCTTCCGCTCAGACAAGTTCTCGTTTCTGCAGTGACCCTCTGACATCTCAGCTACACACGGGGGAGCGAGGCTGCTTGTCCCCTGGGTCTCCTGACTCTAGAGTTGCCCCTTCGAGTCTGGGCCAGGGACCCCGACCAAAGGGCCCTGAATTCCCTGGAGCAGAGTGTTTGGGAAGGTTCAGGAAGCCCAGGCGTGGTTGTTCATGGAAATGGGGGATGCTGTTTAAATAAATTAAGAGCAAAAGAGGAAAATCCATCAGCATTATTTTCAATAGCTGGGATGATATGCATAACATTTCCTCCCTTTCATTTGATAATTTTTCCTTCTTAAAGTAGTTTTGAAGAAAGAAAGTGTCTGATGATTTGCTGCACAATGAGCTCAAATAAAAATATTCTTTTTAAAAAGGTGGTTGGTTGCTATGTAATTGAATTTAAATAATGGGCAATTTTTGTTTCTAAGTCGCCCCACCAGTATTCAAACACTGTTCTCCCTAGTTGTGAGGTAGGCGTATGTTTGTGTGGCTGTGTAAAGAAGAAAAGATCTCACTGATGGAGTCTTTTTGGAAAAACAATAATAATTATAATAAATTAAAGTTGAGTGCGTACATGTGTGTGTATCTGCTGGTGGGAAATGTATGGGATTAACATGTAACACTGTTCTAGCAGGAAGAGACCCAGAGGCACCTGGAGAGTCCGCACGGCCTTTGAATGGAACTAAGTGAGAATTCTGGGTTCCGAGCCTCGCAGATCCGAGTTCAGATTCTGGGTATGCGCCTCACCAGCCGCACGGCATCTGGCAGATTCTCCATCCTGAGCCTCAGGTTCCCCATTCGGCACAAAGGGACAGCACAGGCCGGATCAAGTGTGTGGCGTTAGGCGGGGCGTGGGGCGCCCCGGCGTGTTGCTCTCCTCCCCTCCCCTGCTCTCCAGCAGCACAGCAGGACTTTCCCACCTGCGTGGTAGGCCCACAGACACTGGTTCATTTGATGCCCAGCAAGCCGATGATGCCGATTTTTCAATCCCCGTTTTATGGAAGGGAAGCCCACTTGGCTGAGATTATCGAACCCATACATCACCCAGTGGGTGGAGGGGCATGTGTGAAACCGGAAGGGTTTGTCTGAACCAGAGAAAGGCCTGGCTTTTTCCATCCTAAGGGCCTTTTTGCTTCTGAGCTCTGTTGGATGCAGAAAGGGGCTCCTGGTGTTGCTTGGTGTAGGCATTTATTCATTCTTTCCTTCTTCTCCGTGTACCAGGCTTTTCCTGAAGATTTCAGGCTGAGCGTGGTACACCCAGAGGTGGCAGAACCCTCCAGCCCGATACTGCATAATGGAGACTTTCTGGGTCTTCAAGCCCCCGGGCATATTCAGGCTGGGCCCTCTTGCCTGCTCCCCTCATCTCCCAAGCTTCTCCCCGGCCTCAGGCCCCCTCTGGGGACGTGGAGAGTTTCTCTCTGTTGGTCTTCCCTAGAGGGTGTGCGTGACTCAGGTGGCCCTCCTCCTACACAGAGTGATGGAGGACAGGGCCCGTCCAGCACCCAGGTAGCCCTCCTTTCCTCCACGCGGGGTCTCCCTCTGCCAGAGGCCCTTTCTTTCTGGTCCTGGCCAGGCTCCTGCTGCTGCCCGGTGCCCTGAGGCTAAAGTACGCCTTGGTACATGGTGATTCCTGGTGATTCTTTAGAAGACATTGTTCTTGAGAGCCCTCCTGTGGGGTGTTGCCGGTCATCTTAGCTCTCGGCTCTCTTCTGTCAGTTAACAAGAGGCTGTGAACAGAGTTAGCACCTTCCACCCCACAAAAAGCACTCAGGAGCTGATGATGCAGGTATGTGTACCCAAGTGCTCTTGTATGGGTTCTGCCTGCCTTAGGTTGCCACCAAGGGCTGTGTCTGAAATAAGTGCCGTGTCGAAGGCCACGGCCGACTGTATCTATGGGGTGAGGAGCAACAGCGTGAGGTCAAGGCCCCCTCTGGACCAGTTCAGTGGGTGATGGGAAGAGAGCAGGTGATGCAGTGGCTGGAGATGGGCGTGGGGTCAGGCCTCGGGCGAGTGCTGGCCCTGCCACTTTCTGCTGTGTGTAACCTTGGACTGGTTAAGTCTTCATTCTTCTTTTTCCCTCTGCGTGGAACCAGACAGCAGCCGTGCACCCTGGTGAGAGCCCAAAGTAACCGAGTACGTGTGGGGTGCTGAGCGCAGCGCCAGAGAGGCCTCTCTGGGGGGCAGCGTGCAAGTCTCGCCGTGAACAAACGGCGCGTCCCCAAGGTTGAGGAAGAAGGGTGAATTAGACCCCGCGGGAAAACCTGCGCTGGAGCTAGGAAGGCCCCACGTTGAGTTGCACTTGGGTCCTTTTATTGTTACATTAGTTCTGCCACCTCTGGGGGTAGCCAGAAGTCCCCCAAAGACGGCGGCCATTTCTGGAGCCCCGCTTTCCCCTCCCGAAGCGGAGGGGTGTACTGGCTGCCTCCCTCCCTCACCGTGGAAGCCCCCAAGCTCCACAGGATAAGGAGACTTTGGAGGTGAAGGTAAAGTGGTCCAGAGGCAGGATATGCCCCACTTTGGGGCGTATTTTTGTCAAAATGACCTCAAAAGGCAGATTTGCAGATGTTAGGGAGCTTTTAGTTAGTTTGCTTTTTTAAATTTCAAGCATCACCGAGGGTCGAAGAACAAGGATCCATCTGGCCTGGTTGAAGGGAGCGTGTGAGATTGCTCGGTTTTCATTTGCAGCAAAATGTACTGTGGGTTTTTCTGCAAACGTTAATAAAGAGGGGAAGCGGTAAAACACCAGGCTGCTGCTGGAAGCGCCTTCATGGTGGAGCCCCTCCCTGGGTTTGTGTGTATCATCACCTGGTAAAAGGGCAATTTGCAGCGATGTCCGATCACCAATCTCAGCTGCACTGGGGATAAACCTCTGGCTTAGAGCCAGATCAGCATGAGAACGTCGTGCCTGCTCTTGGCTGCGGCGGAAAGCCCGGTCTGCAGCCAGCCTGGGCACTTACCACTTACCCGGTCTCCGCCCCTTACCACTTCATGGGGAGGAAGTGAAACGAATGTGATAGATTTAAGATGAGGTAGGTTACCATCATATTTCTGGCTTTTCCACTGGTTCCTAATTGGTTGTGGGAGTTCCCACGGAGTGGAGAGAAAGAGATCTGGATTAGAAATGGGGAGGTAGGTTCGAGTTCCAGCTTTGCAATAGCCTTGCTGTGTGACCTTAGGTAAGGCACTGACCCTCTCTGGGCTTGTTCACTCTCTATAAAACTCCTGTGTGATGAGAATGGCCGGGGGATGAGCAGCAGCTGCCTCCTTTAAGTGGGGTGTGCCTCCCTCCCATTCTGTTTCAGGATCTCTGTTGGCATTTGCATTTGGAACTCACAACAAAATGCGGCCCTCTGGGACTCCCAACCTGCATCAGAGGAAAGGGCTTTGAAGGTGAGTTAGGAGGAGCACAGGCTTCCTGGTCATGCTGGGGTCGAATCCACACTCTGCCTAAACTTACTATCTTGGTAACTTTGGATGAGTTATTCAGTCTCTCCGAGCCTCAGTTTACCCATTTGTAAAGTAGGAAGAGTAGCACCTACCTCAGAGAATTGTTTGGGATTAGGAAAAGACCCTGATTAGAAAATGCACAGCATGCCTGATGGCTGTGGACGCTTGACAGAGCAGAGGTGGCCTGGTGGCGTCCCCTCATGCCCATCGGGAGGGGAGACTCAGTGGTTACTGAGGTGTAGCCCCTGGACCCAGTGTTCCTTCTGCCGATGTTGGGGTGGGAGACGGAAGTTCTCTGGGGCTCTGGCAGTGCCCTCCTCCCTGGCCCATCCTGTGTGCCAGAGCATGGCTTGCATGGAAAGGCACGGCATTCCTCTGGCCAGTCAGGGCCAGGGGACAGGTGGGGGGTGGTGACTGCAGCTCCCGGCAGCTAATCCTGCTGGTCAGGGCACCAGGCACTCCTATACAGGGGGGCTTCCACTCTGCCTTGTGGGGCAGCTTGGGGACATGCTGTGTTCTCTCCCTGCTCCTTGGTACCATCTTCTCCATTCTGTTCACAGCCAGGAGCAGCCCTGTCTCAAGGGGATGGTTCTCAGGCACATGGTGTTCCCACTAGAAGCTCGTTGGTTGGATCTTTGCTGCCTTCCCGGCGTCCTTACCCCAGAAACCACTTGGGTGGGGAGGTGTGGGGACCGAGGGATTGCCTCTCTCCACACCACATAGCCCTTACCTGGAAAATGGGCACTAGTCGTACCTGGCTCATCGCTGCTGCTCGAGAACCTAAATATGATTGAATGTTATTGTTGCTGTTGGTACTGGTTATGAGAAAGCAACTAGTGGGCTATTTGGGGTTGCTTTTGGTGTAAAGGATGTGGTTTGAAATGGCCTCTTTGTCTTAACACAATCTGTTTTGATTTATTCAACTGTGGGAACTTGAAAATGGACCAAATGTTTTTCCTCCCCTTGTTCTCTCTCTCTCTCCAGCCCTCGGATTTCCTCTCACTCATTCATTTACTTGCCCCACTCACATACCTCTTGCTCACTCATCCACCCTCTCGTTGGTTCACACTCATCTTCTCACTCAATTTAAGTGCAGGTAGAACTGGAAATGGTCCCAAATGTTTTTCCTTCTACGTCAGAGGACCCCAGTCTCTCTTAACTACACACACTCAGATGTGTGTGCAAATTCGCACTGAAACTCCGCTTCCTCCTCCCATCTCCTCCACCCTGCCCCCACCCCAGCAGAGCCTGAGGTCAGGAAACCTGGTTCCCACTTTATCTCTTTTACTGACCTGCTCCGTGGCTGTGGCGACCTGAGCCAAATCACTTGACCTCTCTGGGCCTCAGTTTGCTCCCTCCCCACGGAGGCCAAGCTATCAGTTTACACTCAGGGAGATGATTACTGTCTTATGCAGGCCCTCAGATGCTCAAGATAAGGTCCTTTCTGGGTCTTAAATTCCCTGAGTCTGCAAATGAGTGGATCTGATCTCATTAGGCAGACCGTGTGCCAACCTGAAATTACTTTGTAGCCTTTTCCTGGTACTGAAGAGACATCATTTTATTTCGAGCTAGGAATTAACATGAGGTCAGGATAAAACAGGAAGTTCAAGAGGATGATTCAGTCTTGACTTCAGAGACACAGCATCAGGCTCAGTCGGTTTCATTCCTCTTCCTCCTGATGTCCCTGGCAGAGCTGACCAGGGACACTGGGGCTGTGGTCTGTTTGCCCCTGCCAGTGGGGGAGGGGTGGCGGAACACTCAGGACAGAGACCCTACCACCAGAAGGATTCGTTTCGTGTTGCGTCCCCCTCTCCCCCGTCCCAGGATGGAGAAGCTGGAATGTATTCGGAACACACCGCGGGGGACACACTGCCCTTGCAGCAGCCCCGCAGGTGAAGTGCTGCCGTCGTTCCCATTTCAGGGGAGGTGCACCGGGGACGTGATGAGGCTGCGTGTGTCACAGGGTGTGGCAGTGGCAGGGCTGGGTCTGCAGCTGAGAGGTGGCCTGCACTGGAGCTAAGCAGCCGACCACCGAGTCAGGCTGTGCATCCCGAGTGGCCCAGGGATGCCGAGGTGGAGTGCAGAGAAACAGGGTCTCAAGGTGCGAGCCGGAGTTCTAACTCTGCTCTGCCACAAACTCGTCGTGGACCCGGGGTGAGTCCCTTCCCCTCGATGGGCCTCAGTCACCCATTGTAAAACGGAGGAGAGGGATTGGTGATCCCCGAGTCCCCTTCCAGCACGGTATTCTGCGGTTTTCTGGGGGTTAGATTTTAGGCAGTCATTAAGAATCAGGCTGCTGGGGGTAGATCCTGGCGTAGGAGCTTGGGGCCTTGGGTGGGCTACCCCAGCCCTTGGATGCTGAGGTTCTCCATCTGCAAAACGGAGAGCAGATGAACACCTGCTGGGTCAGGTTGCCGTGTGGACTGAGAGGTACAGGGCGGTACCCGTTACCCAGGACGATGTCAGGGCTCCTATGCACACTCGTTCTCACTGTGGCTTCATTATCTGTCTTGGAAGACCCATTCGCCAGGGATGGGAGCTTGCCACCTGGCGTGGAAAGCCTCGCCCCGGAATTAGAGTGACATTGTACATGAGCTGCCACGATGCCTTTGGATACAAACCACTTGGCCACTGGAATGCCTTGGGGTTTCTTAACCAAGGTACCATCTTGGGCATTCCAAATACAGAAGTGAAAACGTGTCTGGGATGATTTAGTCCAGTGGCATTCAACTTACCTTGGAAGTCAAAGAGTGGCCGTAGAAGTCAAAGGAAGTTCCACGCGGAATAGCCAATATGAAATAGAACGGGGCTTCTACACTGAAGCAGGATAGGGGGCTTCCCTGCCCACCTCCCCTCCACTTTGGTGTCTCCTGAGGAAACCGTGGGGAACCCATTTTCAGCCTCGCAGGCCAAGAGGTGGTAGATCCCCAAAACTGAGGTCCCCAAAGGGGCAGAAACTCACCTAGGCATCAGAAGCAGCACGTTTGCTAGAATCGTTTTCATTAGCAGCAGCATTTCCCGATTTTGTGAGAGGGCTCCCCTGTGTTTCTTCTGCCCATTGATCCCAATCACCTAGAGACGTGCCTTTCCACACTGACCCTTATGTCGGGGCTGACACTTCTGAGTTATTCCCTCTCCTGCCTCCTCACAGCCATAGGTAAAGCTGGATGGATATTTATTGTTCAATCAAGGAAAATGGAGCCTTTTATTTGGAAGCTTTTGAAACACAGTATTTACCCAAGTAATTCTGCCTGAATCTGCAGGTGTTTGGTCAAAATAAATAACTAAATTGTGACCAGAATGAACCCACAGATGGGGCGGTTTGTAGGGACTCTCAAGAGCCCGATTTAAATGAGGCATCTCTCCCCACTTCCCACGTTCCCCATCTTGCAGCTCCCCCCACCCCCGGTTTGGATTTTGAGATCACATGGTTTTCCTCCCTCCAAACCTAATTTCTGCACAGATTTAGCCCGTGGTAACCTGCCACCAGAAGTGCTTTAGTGATAATCAATGGGCGTGGGTTGCTGGGGAAGGCTCCATGCCTGCTGCATATAAAACACCCGGCGGCCAAGGCGAGATCGATGCTGGCAAAACCTCCGGGTGTCATCGCACAGCGCGCCGTCCCCCCCCCCCCGCCCGCCCATCTTAAACTCCAGGTGCCGTGCCCCCCAAGAGGTTTGCTGACTTGCCCAAGGTCACACAGTGATTTAGCGGAGGAGCCCTTGGCCTTTTGTGTTCCTAGGCCAGGGCCCTTTCAAACGCACCAAACCCTGTCTTTGCTGAAGCCAGTCTGCCCTTTGCTTTATGATCTAGGTAATAAACCAGTGCTGTAGTGCCTGTGTGGGCGAAGAGGGAGATGCAGCGAACTATTAACGCAGTCCAAGGCTGGCTTCTAGAGTGCGTAAGCAGGTTTGGCCAGCAGCAGGTGGGGAGGCGTTCTGAGACGTTTGCCCAGCACCCTTGCACCCGCATCCCAAAGTGATGAGAGGGTCAAGAATGGAGAAGATCTGGTCCCTGTCTGCAAGGGTGGAAGAGACACATGTGAATTCAATTCAAGGCTGGAGCGGCCTGCGCTTGGCTTCCCAGCACGCCGTGTGCTTTGGGAGTGGGTGGGAACACGGCCTTCCCCAGGCCTGACCCTGGCAGCCTGGCAGATGTATTTATTTCTTCCTGCTCTTCGTGGGAGGCCAGTCTCTGGCCGGGTGGTTGAGCAGGCAGCCTCCGGACAGGGCTGCCCGGGGTATGCACCCCATCTTACTGCTCAGACCTGTGACGTGAGGCTAGCTCCTTCCATTTCCTCGGGGGAACAGTGGGGCTGGGGATAGTGCCTTCCTGTCGTGGGTGGAGGGGGGGTGAGACCTCAGGGACAAGCCACAGAAAGTGCTCAGCGCCCCACCCCCCAGATAGGCTTAGCAAACGCTTTGCATTAGCTATTAATTTGAGGAATTTCGGATGGAGGGGTTTAGATTGGAGGGGATGTCTCTCCATTTAAAAATCCTATTTATCACTTTTTTCCTGACTATAAAGGCACATGCATACATATGCCTGCTATGGGAAGACGCCCACCACTAACGTTTGCAGCGTCCCTTCCCAGCACCCCCTGCGTGTGTGGTGTGGTTGGGCATGTACTGTCAGAGTGGTACTTTCAACAAATTGTAAATCCTGTGAAGTCTCATAAATGCAGAAGGAACGTGGGTCAAAGGTCGACTTGGCTCGTTAATGTGGGAGCCAGCAGGATAGCGAGCTGGCTCTCGGGAGAATTGGAGGGACTGTGGCTACTTGGGCAGCAGAGAAAGAGTGCCGGGGTGACGGCTGGATTGAATGCAAAGCAGACTAATGTCCTATGGGCAATAAAATCTTCACGTCTGCAGCCATCTTTTCTTCAAGACCTACAGATGCAAATGTACCTGCTCAGGAGTTAAAGTTACATTCTTCTGGAATCC